CCAATGGGGACGATCTCATCTCTAACTACGGACCCATGCTTCACCATTCCCGAGATTAGAAAGACTTTGTGCAACCGCCGATCAGTCTTCCAGTACATAAGGTGCATAAGATACTGTTCTTCTAGAATAGATATTATATACGACCTAATTTGGGTTTGGACCATTGATTCTTAAACTAAAACTTGAAGAAACCCGTGTTTATGGATAGTGCCGGGTTTGTCATGGGCACGCGCTTCGTCGCCACGGACGAGGCCGCGTCCGCGCAGCTGCACAAGGAGATGATCGTGCGCACGCGGGACGGCGGCGTGAGCACCTGGAAGTCCCACTTCCACGACAAGCTCGTCGACAGCAAGCTCTGGAACGACGAGTACGACGGCCGGGCCGTCGTGGGCGCCATCCACAGCGAGTCCCGCGCGCTCGGCGGCGATACGGCCACGGTGGAGGAGAGCCGAGAGCATTTGCGTACGCGGTGGAGCGAGGAAGAGGGCAAGAAGATGATTGGGAAGTGGGCGGGAGCCGGGGTGGGACTCGTCACAGAAATCAAGCCGGCTGGAGAGGTGGTTGTTGAGGTGAGAGAGGCTGCGAGGAAGAGAATCCAGGAGCTGGCTGGGATGATTTGACCAATGCCGCGTGGTTACTTGCGACGGGTATATAGGTACTGATGCTCTCGAGGCACTGTGCTGGTTTGTCAACCAATTCAGTGCTGACACTTTCTATATATATAAACTAAAAGAGGCAACGTTGTACAAGGATAATGAACAGTGCATCAATTGGGGGGGGGGGGGGGGGTATCTTCCAAGGTCTCGCTTTTCAAGAGTAGTGTGTGGTCTAATGCCCCTTTTCAGTCTTGGTCAACTTTGCCGCGCTCTCAAAATAGCCCGCCGTTCCACCATACTTGGCCAGCACCCCGTCGATATTCACCTCCTCGACAGGCCGCGTCCGCTCCCGTCCTAACATGGCGGTGTTGCGCGTGCTCGGGATGCGCAGCATCTCCGTCTCGACGAGCCAACCGCAGTCCTCGGCGATTTGCGCGGCCCAGTCGACCAACGAGGCATACGTCGACTGCGACTTGGTCTTGTCACGCGGAGGCGGCGGACGGTACTTTTGGCCGCCCAGCCCGTGGCTGCAGCAGGGGATCATGATGAAGGGGCTCTCGGAGAGGGTCGCGAGGATCGGTGTCCACGGTGTCAGCTCGTCGGCGTGGTTGGAGACGATGAAGGTGCCCTTGGGGAACGCGCCGTTGTGGATCTTTGCCAGGTCCAAGACGGGCTCCTCGCCTTGAGCGTAGGATGGCCCGGAGACGACATCGGGCAGGAGAACCAGGGCCTGAAGGGAGTGTCGTCCATTCTGGACCGAGTTGTACTTTGCCCATGACTTTCTCGCTCTGGCATCAAAGCCCCATCCAGAATAGCCTTCTCGTATCAGGAGATGTACCAAGAGGCCGTTGCCGCAGCCAATGTCGACAAAGCCGGGGAAGGGCCGGTCCTTATACATGTCGGCCCAGAGCTCCGTCAGAAAAGCAGCAATACCTAAATCCTCAAAGACATGCTTGGAAGGGTCCGTCGTCTCGGCCCAATTCTCCACCAGGTCCTTGGCATACTTGAGCTTGAGCTCGGTATAGCGGTCCTGGAAGCGCGCCTGCGGGATGACTAGGTCATGGTGCACTCGCTTGGTGTAGCCTTGAACCCGCCCTTGGCCATGCTTCCAGAGCGCTTGCAGCAGCATGCGGGCAGTCCTCAGCAGCTTGTCGACGGCGAGGTCGGACTCGTCGTAGAGCAGGTAGTGGATGGAGACGGTTCCCACGGCGCGCGCAGCATCCCACTCGTGAAGGTGCGCGACGCCCCGGACCTTGGGATGGTAGAAGGGGAGGTCGTCGGGAGAAGACACGTGGGGAAGGTAGACGACCAGGGACCTGGTCTTGGTAGCATCTGGGGTACAGGAGGCGAAGACGCACGTCTGGTCCAGGGGGTCGTCCCGGCGAGTGTTGCGCGGGATTAGCCTACGGACGAGAAGGCGATGGATGTGAAAATCCCTGAAGGCAACAGGGACGGGTTGCCGCACAGCTTGTGCGGCATCATCCTCTTCCGGGGTGTCGGACGTGGGGGGTGGTGGTGGTGGTGGTGGAGGCGTCCAGGCTGGATCGGAATCGTGGAGTATGTCGGCGCGAAACAACCATGACGAGTTGATGTTTGGGTTCTTGACCAGGTTCATCATGACATCCTCAAAGACGTCGGGCCCAAAGACGCACTCCTGTTCCCACAAAGGGTGCCAAACCTCTCCCGACACATCGTGCACGAGGGGTTCCGCCGACTGCCCGAGTGCCGTCGGGTTGTAGGCCATACCTAAACAAGGCGGGAAGGGAAGGGAAGGGAGGAAGATTGTTTTGTTTTGTTTCCCCAGGTTGCGGACCGACGAAAGAAGAAAAAAGAAAAAAGTCGGTACAAAATAAAGAGAACAAAGAAAAGAAAGATTACTGAGACGCTCGAGTAATGCGATAAGGGGAGATGCAGAGGGGACGCATGAATTGACAAGTGAGCCGCTAGGCAGATCTCGGCTAGCCCCGCAGATGCGATCCAGGACCCAATGTGACGCTATGAGTTGGCCAAATTTTTGTTTACTTAGCGACGTGGGGTGACATGGCAACGCAACACGCGCCCAAAATACACAACCACACCGGCTTCCTTCCGGAACATCACGCAGAAAAAGGGTGCTGGTCCGTCCTGCATAAGCTCCGATCAAAGCCTGGCACTTCCTTTATCGAGGCTTCTCGTCTTCAGTCACAAGCTTTCGAGCAGCCATTCCTCTTACCTCCCTGTCCTCCGCATACCTATGTGTGTATGTTTATGTGTTGACCCAGAGCGAATCCCCCCCCCTAGCAAAGCGATTCCCATACACCGTCCACCGCCATGGCAGACAACGAAAACCTGCGTACGGCGTCGCTGTACATCAACAATCAGTTGCTCTCGCGAGGACTCCTCCGTGATGGCCAGACAATCAACTTCGCCGACCCGGAAGACAATCCGGGCGGCACCGAGGCTACCATGGGCAGGGTCATGAGCATTGTCAATGACTTGATCTTGCGTAGAGACGTGCGTGTGCCCTCAATCCCCCTTCACCCCTCATTGCATTGAAGAGAAGAGACCACCGTACTGAGACGATGTTGTTTTACCCCTCCTGAAGCGCGACGCCGAACACCGCGAGAACCTCTCCGCTACCCTGCGCAACGTCCGAGCCGAAAACCTCCGATACACGAACGACCTATCGCGTCTGTCGGAGAAGCAGACCGACACCCAACGGAAACTCGACATCAGCGAGGCCACCGAGAACACGCTACGCACCCAGCTCAAGTCAGCCGACGCTGCTGTCCGCGGGCTCAAGGAGGAGGTGGCGCGCGCCAAGACACTCGTTGCCCAGACGCGCGCCTCCTGTGCGACCGAGGTCCGCCGCCGCGACCGCCAGATTGACGGCCTGAAAAAGCAACTCGGTGACGCTGGTCGTCCCCGAGGCACCGCCAAGAGCTCTTCCGTCACCGTCATCAGCGTCGTCGCCGGCGAGGGCGAGGAGAAGGTGTCCCCCCGACGCCAGGGCAAGGCTGGCACGAGCACTGACGATTCCAACTACGACCTCCGCAGCGAGACGAACGAGTTCCTGACAGGCCTGGCGAGAAGCCTCAGCGAAGAGAACGAGGCCCTTCTAGGCTTGGTCCGACGGACGACCAAGAGCCTACGTGAGATGAGCGGCTGTGATGTCCGGACAAGTCAGGGCGACGGGTATGCCGTCGCCCTGCCCACGGCTGAGGACATGGCCTCGGAGCTGGACGCCATTCTCGAACACCTCCGCTCCATCCTGACGAACCCTTCGTTCGCCCCCATTGAGGAGGTCGAGGTCCGCGAGGAGGAGATTGCTCGCCTGCGTGCTGGCTGGGTCAAGATGGAGAGCCGCTGGCAGGAGGCCGTCCATCTCATCGATGGCTGGCGTCGGCGCATGGTTGTCGACGGCAAGTCAGTCAACATGGAGGAGCTCAAGATGGGTCTTCGTCTTAGCCCCGTGCGCGTGCGTGACGTCGAGGAGACGCAGCAGGGCGGCGTGGACATGCAGGAGTTGTCCTGCGTCCAAGAGGAATGCACTGCCGATCTCGAGGACGAGGACGAAGACGAGGACGAAGCCGAAGACGAGGAAGAAGAGGAGGCGATGCCCGACTCCCCTTGCCCTGCCCCCCACAGAGTCGAGTCTCTGCACCTTGTTCCCGCTCCTGACCGACACTATGCGGCTCCCCACGAAGAGGAGTACGACGACGAAGTCCAGCAGAGCGACCGGGAGTCGAGCATCTTTGAGGATGTTGACGTCGAAGATCTTGATATCGAGGAGCCTAACGTGCAGATCCTCCAACAATCCACTGCAATGGTCAGCTCTCCCCCTCTGCCGCCCCCTCCTCAGCTGAGTCCGCTCCGCGAGATGGCATCTGCCGGCAACCGCGATGCACGACCGAGACGCGAGAAGCAGGGTGGTTACCGCACAATGGCCGAGGAGAAGACCCGTACCATCCGTACCGTCGAGACCGCCCCCAAGCCACCCCCGCATCTCGTCCAGGTCTCTAGGTCTCCGCAGAAGCCTTCGCAGCAGGCCGATGACCGCTACCGTACCATCTCTGCGGCTTCGGTCGAATCCGACTCGACCCACAACGGCGCGCCCCTCTTCACACCGTCTGGAACCCCTCCTCCTGAAGTGGACCAAACACCAACCGCCCGCAAGCTCCCGAAGCCACCACGTCTAGTAGCAGCGGCTCCGGCGGTATCCGCACCAAAGGAGACCCTGTCCACGGTCCGTGCAGTCTCCCAGGAGAGCCAGGAGAGCCAGACCAGCCAGGAGAGCTGCGACGGTGAGCCTCCTGCCCCTGCCATGCAGCCCAGCAGCAGCAAAGCCGCATCGCCACACCGCACCCCCTTGCGCCGCGTTCCCTCCCGCCTTCCCCTACCTCGTCCTTCGGACCCGCCGCCACAGCAGAGCCCCCTGACGCTGGCCACTATTGCGGCCAAGCTTGCCGCCTCGGAGCGCGAGGCCGATGCCGCACGGGTCCGTGCAAAGCTCAAGGCTGCCCGCGACGGCGCCCTTGGCAAATCTATCCCCGCAACGCGGGAACAGCAGCAGCAGCAGCAGCAGCAGCAGCAGCAGCCCATGCCCGCTCCCCCTCCACCAGAGACCATCGTGGCCGTACCGGCAGAGCCAGAACAAGCAAATGGCTCTCCCGCAAGGACAGGGGCAGACCGAGACCTTGACCCCATCAAGCGCGACCTCCCGCAAGTCGAGGGCCAAGAGCAGTCGCCGCTCCAGCCCACGAGGCGCAAGCGCGAAAGGCGCGCGAGCAAGGTCGCGTCGAGGAGACGGAGCACGCTCAGCCCGTGGGAGATGGAGAGTCTCATCTCGGGCACCGTCGCCGTCCCTCCCTCACCGGCTCGGTAACGGACCGCCGGTTCAACCCTTTTATTATCCTTTTCCCCCCCTTCATTTAATGAAATTGCTTGGAGCTACAGGGAGTCTTTCTCCGATACCCATTTTCCCTCACCCCATAATCGCCATAATACGACTAAACTGCATACCTTTTCTCTCTCTCTCTCTCTCTCTCTCTCTCTTCCTCTCTCTCTCTTCCTCCCTCTCTCCATTATTCTCCCACGTTTTCTCCTCCGGGAGGAAACGAAGTATATCTCGGACACGGGATATCCGAACTGGCGCGTGGAAGAAAACAAGGTCAAGGGCGACGACTGCGCTGGGATAAGTGTCGTGCGAGAAGGGAGGGGGTGCGGCAGGCGTAGGGATCTGGGAAGCGGGAGTTTGATGCCAAATAGGGGGGGAAGAGAGACGGACAGACAGACACACACACATGCACACACATACACACACACAGAGGGAGAGAGAGACACAGAGAGAGAGATGACACTCATTTCCCCCCACGGCCATGAGAGATGTTCGACATGGTCGTTACTATCCAGCTGCGAATCCCCCCTCCTTGACCCCAGCCACAGTATCACGATAGCGATGGCCTGTATGCGTTCCGCCGAGGGGTTCCTTTCTCTTCTTCTCTCTTTTCTTGCACACAATGTAGCCGAGAGCTTGAAATAACCAGACTAATTCACTTTGATCTCTTCTTTCTTTGTTTTTCTCTTTTTGTTTTTGCTTCTGACTTGTTCGACCGGACCGCGAACGCTCTCTCTCGAATCATCCCTCCCCACAGTGAGTTCCCTGACCCGTGTCTCAACTCGTTCACGCGTCCTATCGAGATTTGCGTTCCTCCCATGATGTATGTACCCTTTCCGTATATGTAAGACAAGGCGCTTCCCCGTCCCGTTGCGCCTAATGCTCCGAGGCCGGGTTCCGCCCCCACCCGCGTCACCAAAACAGACAAAGAATTACATCCACGACGACCACCCCTTCAGTCGTCCTTCGGCGCCAGCATGTCCGACGTCAGGCCTCAACCGGCTCCACGGGGTCCAGAGGCTCCAGCGGCACGGGGAACAGGGGGTCCCAGCCCCCGTAGACCAGCTCGACGCCGTGGGCCTCGCAGGACGCCCGAAGCTGGTCCATCGGCACGCCCGTCAGCGCGCTCTGGTGTACGCGGCGCAGGCGGCCGAGGCGCGCGACGCGCTCGATGACGGCGGCGATGCGGCGCGGCTCGCACAGCTCCGAGTGCAGCTCGAGGACCTCGAGGTTCGGGAAGGCCTCGAGGAACTCGAACAGCAGGTCGGTCGGGTCGACGGCGCGGTGGGCCGGGTCCCGCGTCAGCGCGGCGTGGGACTCGAAGTCGAAGTTGAAGAAGCCAAAGGTGCGCACCGACGGCGCGCCGCGCAGCCAGCCCAGCGCGCCGGGGAAGAAGCGGCCCGGGTCCTGGCGCCAGCAGAGGCCCAGCTCGCGCAGCGGCCGGAGCGGATGGCGGGCTCGAGGAGGACGGTGGCCAGGTCGACGCTCAGCGGCAGGCGCGGCATCCACAGCCGCTCGAGGTTGGGGTACGTGACCAGGGGCGCCGACGAGTCGGGCCCCGTGGCGGCCGGGTAGCCCGAGTAGTCGAGCGGGAGCTGCTGCGGGAGCCAGTCGCCGTGGTTGCCCTGGTGGACGGCGCGGGCGTCGAGGACGCGGAAGGAGGACGGGTGGAGGGGCGGGAAGTGGCGCTTGTCGCCCGTGGAGAGGGCGCCGCAGGCCCTGCCGAGCTTGATCACCTGCAGGCGCGTCCACAGGGACCAGCAGTCGTCGGGCGGCGACAGGGACTCGAGGCCGGTGAAGACGCCAAAGTTGTCCATGTACAGTTGCTCCAGGTTCGGTGTGGCCCGGGCGAGGGCGAACTAGCGGTGGGTTGCGTCAGTCAGTTCGCATCTTTCACAAGACGGCGGTGGACGAGGACGGACTTACAGGGTTGATCCGCCGTTCGGGCGTGAGTTGGTTCATCAGCGACTTGAGAGGCCCGGTCAACTGCAGCACCTTCAGGCGAGGCAGCTCGGGCCATTCCAGGTCTTGCAGATACATGCCGAAGAGCAGTATGTCCTCGAGGTTTTCGCGCGCCCGCTGGACAAACTGCCAGACGAAATTCTGCGGGCCGCCGCGGCCGTGGTACGCCGGCCTAGTGGGCTCGTCGAAGCTGAACCGCAACTCCTTGACGCCCTGGAAGAAGGCCGGCTTCGGCGGCAGATGGTAGCCCCAGCCGCCGTTGTCCAAGTTGCGCTTGATGTAGCCGATCTCGAGGCGGGTCGTCATCTGCGGGTTCGTCGTCTGGATGAGCGACAGCCACTTGCTCTCGTTGAGCTGGAAGGAGTGGGCGTTGGGGATGACGAGGCTGCGGGCACCGCCGCCGGTGCGCTTCCGCAGCGTCTTGAGAAACGAAACTTTGGGCGGCTTCTGAGGGTTCAGGGTCGGGAAGTGGACCTCGCGCCAGATGTACGGGTGGGTGTCGAGGAAGTGGTCCCATCGTTTGCAAACTCCCGATACTCGGCTGCGAAGATGTCAGGAAGATGGGGCTGTAAGAGCAGAGGCGTCTCGCGGAATCAAGGCGCCGGAGGTGACGCACCATAACTCGTGGAACTCGAAATAGGAAAAGATCTTTTCGACCAGCTCGGTTGGCAGCTCGAGAGGATCCCTCCGACAAAAGTGCTTATGTAGCGGTCCCCGTATCTTGCGGAGTTGCTTGCAGAGGCGGTCAGCAGAGACTTGGTCGGGCGACCAGCTCGTCCACGTCACGTACCTCGTACTTGGGCGTGCCGATAAGCCCCTCTTTCTGGCCGACCTCGAGGCCGGCACACCACGCGGCCCACGCCATCTCTGGCTTCTTCTCGAGCCTGTAAATCTTGCCCAGCCTCATGTAGCCCTGGAGCTAGTCAGCCCACGTCGCCAGCACAGCGAGTCCCGGGCAAGGGGACAGCGGGGGGGGGGGGGGGGGGGTCATTGGTAACCGACCTCTAGCCTCCGCGGCGCGATCTCCAACAGCCACTCGGCATCTCTCCTCGCCTTGTCCAGGTTCCCCATCTTCTCGAAGCAGGCGGCGCGGTAGTCGAGCGCCTGGACGTGACTCTCGCGGTGACAGCGGCCCCACGTCTTCTCGGCGCCACACTTGCACTCCTTGGTGGCCTCGGCGTAGACGCTGCCCCTCTCGCGGGTGTGCCGAGCCGCGGCCCGACCAAAGTCTCGGCAGGTACACCTCTCTCGCCGGCGGCGCTGTTGGTGGTCGGCCCCCGACCCGGTCCCCTGGGAGCTCCCCGGGCCGCTACCACGGGGATTCGAGCAGAGGCAGTTCCCGGCGACGAGGGTGAAGTGCTCGAGGGCGACGCGGAAGCGTTGGTCGGCGTAGGCCATGCGGCCCTTCTCTATTGACGCCTCTGAAGAGCGGACGCGGGGAAGTTGGGCGGGAGGCGCCATGTCTCCCGTATAATGCGGAGACCTTGAAGCGCGGGAATCAAGTCAAGGGTCCTAGCCAGACAGCGGAACAGCTTTGGAAAGGTGCGGGCGATGAAGGATTCTGCAACGGGATGAGAGACGCGAAAGGTCTTGGTGAGATGCAGGTATCTGAACCATGTTATTCAAGGTCACGTGAATGGTGTTATCAGGTACTCACGTGGGGGGGTCAAATCAATGAAGCAAGCAAGCAAGCTATTGTTCGTCTGAGAAGCCGGATAGAGGGAGGAAGGGTACGGTATGCAGCCAGCTAGCTAATGCGGGGAAGCAAGGAGAAGTGGCATCTCGTCTCGTCTCGGCGGGTCTTTACAAGTCTTTGCGAAGAAAGCCGGTGGACAAGTGAAGGGTCGGGGCCGGCGGACGATGGGCTGGTGCCGTGGTGGACGTTCAAAGGTCCGAGGTTCGCAGTGACGTTGCGGGACGAAGGGCGCGACTGTGACGCGACGCGAACCGGGCGTCCTCCGTTAATGGGGCCTCCCCCACCCTCACTGTGACCGCTGTGGCAGTTGCCGCCGGAGCGGCCCCTTCAGACTGCCGTACCTACACTACATTGGGGGAGGAACTCTCCCTCCATCCCAAGTTTGGATTTGTCATCGATGGCCGATCTACCAACGACACTACGGGTATATCAGGGCAATGAACCAAGCATACAGCCATGTGACTTTATGCTATAACAGGCTTGTGCTCCCCTGCGCCATCCCCCCCAAGCTCGTTACTATGTAATCAAACAGGGCCCGTCACTCTAGACCGAAGCCCATCCCCCAACGATCCTGTTGAATCCTACCGCCACCGTCCCCGCGACAAGCGGCGGCTCCTTCCTTACCGATTACTACGGTTCGCATTCGCACTCGCCCATGGCACAACACACGTCAGACCGTTCGTGGTCCTTCGTCCACGTCCACGCCACTCACCCGTTCTGGTCTTGCGCCCTACGATATACATTGTACACCTTACACACCTGCCTTGAATGACTGAGCCTCCATCTCACCTGTCACGCCTACCGTCTGCCTCACCACGCAGCCACAGCTGACCTCATGACCCCCCCCAAAGAAACGAACGTCTATGCTCCACGTCGACAAGGGGGGAGGGTGTTTCCCTAGTGCCCAGTGCCGTCCACCTGACAGTGATGATCCCTGAGCGGCGCTGCTCGCCTGCTCCCTGTCCACCCCCCCGCGGACCCCATTCCAGGCAAACGACCGGCAGGCCCAGGCAACGTCGCGTCTCGAACCGGGTTCCCGATTGAGGAGGGAATCTTCAGGAACCAGGCCTCGGCGGCCGCTGGGATTGGCGATGGCTGCGACTGGCCAGAGATGCGATGCGATGCGATGCGTCCCCATACAAGCAAGCGCCAATCATGCGCGTCTCTCCAGCTCACCGGTGCCAGAACACGCGGTGTATCCCGGTCTGCTGCAGAACACTACTTATGCAAAAGTCTCGTTTCTACACTTTGACGCATGCACGTAGTCTAATTGTGTCAGTCATGGCCGGCAGAAGTAAGATGATGAGGACCTCGTTCGTACCTACCTAGGTTATGCACGCATGCACATGGCGAAACATGCCGCATACAAACCCTTCCATGGGCCCGGAACGATGCTCAGCTCGACCGGCCTCCCGGACGACCGCGGACGACTCTGCGTGGTCGACCGCCTGGCAGCACCTTCTTCGTCGCCCGAAACATCCCCAATCAGGAGGGAAGAGGGAAACCGAAACCACCACCACCACCACCACCACCACCACTACCCGTCTCTGCCTCTGCCTATGCTTCTGCCTCTGCCTCTGCCTCCTCCTTTGATGCACCTCCTTCTGTTTCCTTACTTCCCTATTCGGCAAAGCGATGTAGCGGCGCTGAGCCCGGTCTCCCGCCTCGCCCCCAAAATTAGAATCCTTCCAATAATTTGGCATCGCATCCCGGAATCCTTCCCTTCATCTGCATCATCCAAGGAAAAGTCGTACGGCACACTCACACATACACACACATGCATATACGCCCGCACGCCCGCCTGCTACGTCGCAACAGCCGTCGAGACACACCGGGGCTCGCAAGTATCAAGGGTAAAATACAACAAAACATATCATGGCACAACAATTCGACTGCCTAGCCGGGAGGGGGCGGCAGGGAGGGGGATGTAACACAACCGAGAGGAGAAGGGCCTTGCAAGTATCGATGGTGTCTGACAGAAGTCCCGGGTTCCCCTCCGCGCTCTCGGCTACGCGCTACTCCATCAGGGAAATGTGATTGCATGTTTTTGTTTGCACCCTCTCGGTCGACGTCTGCTCGATTCATTTCCGTCACCCACACTCGGCCGAATCCTTCCGCAGTGCAGTCGCTCGGAAACCCATCGAACAGCCGTCCCTCCTCCAGTCGTGCCTCGTTCCTTCAGGCGCCTCCCGGAGGCTGGTATCTCCATCTGTTTGAATCCTCCAGGCTTGATTGGGTTCCTTGGCTTCCTCTGTCCGATGCACGTCACGGCCATGCGCTGCCGTCCGGCACCGCATCACAGGACTAAAAAAAAATAAAAAAAAGATTAAAAAAAAAAGATGAAATAAAACACCAAAGAAAACCAGTACCCCCCTTTCACCGTGTATGGTGAGAAGTGACGAACAAACAACGGGGGAAACCACCAACCGTATCCCTGGGCCCTCGAAGCCCGAGGCCTGCATTGCATACGGCTACAAGATAGTTCAGATGAGTTCGAACAGGGGTATCTGGTCTCGGGCAAATTATACGATGATCAACATGCTACTCTCCTCATCTAAAAATTGAGGCCTGCATCTCATGTTATGCCCACCCCCACCCCCTTGCTCCGGTGCGACGTATCCATATCGCTGGATTCCGTTGTAGCAGATCGGGGGATGATCATGTCTTGCCGTCCACCCGGGAAACCTCAGCATGTACCGTGACCTCGACCAGAGCTTCCCGAAGACGCAGTGCGGCACCTCGTCCTCCGCCAGCGCCGTCGATTCCAGCTGCCATCCGCAGCATCATGATTAGGCTGCCAAGATGAGAGAGAGAGGGACACGGAGCCCTAGCGTCAAGCCGGTCCAAATGGCCGCAGTCGCAGCACACTCACGCACACACACACACACACACACACACGCCATAGGCGGCGCTTCTTGCTTGCGCCTTGTCGCGTCTGTCGTTTAAGCAAAGGAAAGAAGAACCACTGATGATCTCACTCACTCCACCCCCCCTTCTCCCTCACTCATCTCACCTCACTACGTACCTCTTCCCCCCTTCACCGCCCCCCCGTCCACTTACTCAACTTCCCACGACACACATACGCACACACACACACACTCACACATACACGTCTTCCCCCGATTGCTATACCCGTTCTTGGATGCACATAATTGGCATCCGACTGTACCACCAAGCGCGGCAGCGGCAAAACAACCACCCACGTTGCAATCCCCTCCCATTCCCCCTCTTGACCAAGTGTGTCTCGGTATCCAAAAAAGAATGAATCCATCCCCAAAGGAGGGGAAAAGCGAAGACAAAGTCCCGTGCAGACCGAACAGAGCTCGCTAGTCATTCGCATCTTCCCACCTCTCTATCTCTTTCTCTCTCTCGCTGCTGCAACCCACCTTGGCAGAGTTCATTTTTAGACCCCAACCCACACACACACACACACACACCCCCCAATAAACAAACCACCTTTTGACCCGTGCAAATCAACTAAACCTCCCCCGCACGACCGGCTCACCTGTCATACACGCACGCACGCATACACACACACACACACACACACACACACACACACACACACACACACACACACACACACACACACACACACACACACACGCATCCAAGTACGATGGTATCCGGCCGAAGTTTTTTCCCCCTGTTAGGTAACTAATGCTCACCCCCCTACTACAGAACTTCACTTTTGGTGAATATTCCCCCTCTATCATGATGTCAGCTATGGGGGATAACATCATAGGGGGAAAAAACTTACCCCTGCCACCCTGTATGTTTCGCGGTCCAAATGCGGCTATTCCCAAACAAGGCGCCCTCTCTCTCCTGTCGCTTATCCTCTCCTTCCGACACGGCCCATCTGCCGCGATGGCCGCGGCAGTGGCTCCACACATCTGTCCCCCCCCCCCTTCCCAGTTCATCCTCCCGCCCGCGCGCCCGGCACAATCTAAAAATACATTTATTTTTGGAAACTCTGTCCCTCCCCCGGGGATCCGATCCTAGAGCGCACCAACCACACAACACCGTTTTCCCCTCCTCTCCCGCCCAGGAGACACAATCATCTTCAATGGACCGATTCGATATCACTTTTTTTAATTCCTTTCTTTTTCCCATGTCGAGAAACCTGCCATCCCATTCCGACCACCCCCCCTTCTTCAGTCCCCTCTTCGAATCCGAGATGTGATCCCACCATCCCGTATCCTCCCATCTCTTGTATTGTCCAGGTACCCGTCGTCCCTTCGCACCCCTGCCCGCCTCTCGTCATCCTCTCCGTGTCGCGTCACACTCGACTCCGGAGCCTCATCCTCCCGCCCGTCATTCAAACGTCAGCACCTTGAACCACCGCCGCCAGAGACAAACCCATCGACCCTCCCGTAATCTTGCTCTCGTAATTATCCGCCCGTGCCTCTCCCCCCTCCCCTTCCCTCACCCTGTCCTTACTCTTCCTCATATCACTGGGAAATATCCGTAAAGGAAAGAAAGACAAAAAACCCCTGTCCGAGTTTCCGCCTGTCGACCCGCCAGCCAATGGCGTGTTAGAGATGCCCGCATCTGACACTGGTGCCTGGGTAGGTGGGTATCTACCTGAAGTGATGGGGAGCTCAACGCCGCAGTTTCCCCTACCCTTACGCCCCCCCCACACCTCTCAACAGGTGATACCAAATCTTGCGTTGCCCGTCATCCTCAAAATAAAGTTCACCCCACCACACCCCGAGGGTGCTTCGCGTGAATCCTTCTCGCACAGCGGTCCTCCTCGAAACTTGGTGCCCCATTCAGTAAAGCCATGTCCTTTTTTTTTTCTTCTCCCCCTTCTTCTTTTGACAATGAGAGCGCCCCTGGTCAGTAACAAAACCTCGGCATGTACGGATACAACCAACCACCTAACTGGTCCTCTTTCTGCCTGCTCCCGTTTCTGGGACACCCTACCTACCTACCCCCAATTGGCTGCCCTCACGTAGTCTGCCTTACAGAGTCACTCTGCCCCCCACACTGAGATCGGGGTTTTTTTGCCACTTGGATATTGACAATTCATATTCGATAGGCATTGGATGTTTGGTACTCCCCGGGATGCCCCGGGACTCTACGTTTGATTCCTCTTTTTGGCTTGTTTCTATGCTTTGTCTATGTAATGTCATCTCTAGTACAGCCCCCCCCCCCACACCTCCCCGCTTTGGCCCCTTTCGCGAACCAGCTCAATTCCTGCAGGTTTGGCTGACACATCTCGTCTCCTTCCGTCACCCCCTCCGTTCCTGATCGTGGGGGTATCCAAAGTGACGCCTCTCCTGAATGAGTTGCAAAAGGTCGAGTCTTGATCAAGCAGAACCCAATGGCTAGCATCCGGGTAAAATCGAGAACAAAACATCGTGGCCCTTCCATCGTTCGACGGCATCCAGTGCCGTCCATGTTCCAGCTGCCGCCCGCGTCATTGCTGCCCTCGCTGCTTCCGGAGCGAGCCGTCTTTGATCGAGTATGATGGTACAAATCATATGAGAGCAACAAACGAGAAAGATTTTGGCAAGAAAAAGAAATGGGGGGGGGAGAAAGACAGAACCGTTTAGAGTACGCAGAAAATAACAGAGAGGGGGGTTGTATAAAATGTTTGAAACAATGAACAATAGCAAGAAGCCTCGCTCACCCAGATGAATCCGCCGTCCATCGCATGTACAGGTGTGTATACCTCTGTTGCTCCGAGCCTGAACGCCTGGTATCCTTCCGCTCACCCGCCCGATGCATCGAATCCCGTCCGTAAAATACAAAAGTTGAAAATGAAGCCGTTGCCGAGGTTCTCTGAAACCGAAACATGCCGTCTCTTTGCCCGCCCTTCTCCCAGCCAGAAAAAAAAAAATAAAGAAACCTCGAAGGAAAAACAAAAAAACAAAAACACACCATGCCTTGGAGGCAGAGAAAGATGAGGACCTGCCAATTAGAAGTTAAGGCATATCTAGTATGCTTGCGCTCCGCCCAAACCGCCCAATGCAAAACCCAATGCCAGCGCTATGCAAATCCCGTGTCGAAAACGAAGGAAATTTTTCCCATGAAAAAGATGGAAGAAAAGAGCGGATAAATCCCCCGAGCTGAAAACGTGGAATAGATTTCAAATGTTTGAGCAGGACCGGAGAGAAGGCGGGGAGAGGGACGCGGGCGTGGTGGATCATGTCGTTTGTTTGGTGCGCACTGGTGGCGGCCACTGAAGAGCCGTAAAAACGTTTCCATAACGTTCGTGATCTCGTCTCTGTCTTCGATAACTTCGTTGCTGGATTTCATGGCGGGGCGTGAGAGCTGTAGAGTGATTTGAGGCGAGTGGAGATGATGGGAGTGGAAGAGTTCGTGGTGGCCATCGACGGATAGTCATCGTATATCGGGAGGCGCCGACGATGACATCAACCGGTCGTGGCCGACGAAGAGTAGAGATAATTGGGAGGGGGGCAGCGTCTGAGAGGTCGACCTTCCTCTAAATGAGTAGAGGTAGGTGACCCAGTTGCTGAACTCGAAGAGCGCCAACGTGGGGGAGCGCCATGAAGAGCAGCCCATCACCGAAGACAAAACGTTTCATCGGTAGTGGCTGGATTGGTAGCCAGAGTCGGAGTATGTGTATTGTGAGGCGTATTGTCCGTGGCCTTGAGAGTGTGCGTTACAGGCGTATCCGACCAAGATCGTTCTCTTCTGGATGCTGTGTCCTGGGCGCCCATATCCAGCGCACCTGTCGATGGCGTGCTGGTAGTACAGGCAGCGGCAAGCAGAGTAGAGCTCGACGATTTGATAACACATTGTGAAGGTCGAAAGGGTTGAACTGGCTAACAAAAGAGTCTATCGATGTAATTTATGGTTCCAGAAGGCTCTTGATGTGATGTGCGAGGGGTGTCCGGACGAGTTTATCTTGGTCGAGAAGGTGTGTTGTTGGCTTTTGATGGAAGGGATCGAGATGCGTGATGACCAGTGAGACTGAGAGCTGCCAAATATGCAAAGAAGCAAGGGAGACGAGGCAGGCAAAGGAAATAGGAAAGGAAACTCAAGTGATTGTGATCGTGATGGATTATACAGGGACTGATAGGGGACAGGGAGATGGGAACGAGCGAAGGCATCACGGCCTTATAGGTCTGGCAGCCTGGCAACCGTCACACGGGAGACAGTTCGTAGAGAAACGTCCCAGGTCTAAGGCAGCAGTGGACCTTGACAATGGACGGCGGATGTCATCTGAGTGAGACCAATGACTAAAGCTGCATCTTGTGCATTAGAGCGAAATGCATACAGAGGACCTGATGGCGCAGGGCAAAGATCAGGAAAAGGTGCCTTGCACCTACCATCATGGCCCTGTAAGGCGCAGCAAGGGAAAAGGTGTGAGAAGAGAGAATGCGAGAGAACCAAAAGTGAGCATGCGAAGAAAGGGCGTGAGAGGCCAAAAAACGGGCTGGGGAGGAGGGGGCGTGTGTGTGTGTGTGTGTGTGTGTGTGTGTTGTGTGTGTGTACTCCGTACTGGACAGGGCATCAAAGGTGGTGTGTGGATGGGGATGGGGGTGTGATGGATGCTGGGATACCAGGGCAGGTCAGGGTACATACAGCACGGCCATGGGGAACCGGGTCGAAAGAGTCATCTTCATCCTTCCCGACTGAATCATCTCTTGAAATGGACACTGCCAACCCTGTTCCCATCCCTTGGGTTGATGAGGTGCAGCAGGGCTGATGCGCGATGGGATGGGATAAGCATGGGTGGATGGTTGTACGAATGAAACAGAATCGAGGAACCCGAATTGGTTTTTGTTTTGCGATGTGCCTCTGCAAGTCGACATGGAAGAGGGTGGTGCCGCTGCATGGCGATTTGCGCCGAGAAAACATTTCTGGAAGCAGAGTAATACCTACAGAGAGAGGCCCCACCACCACCATGCGCGTTGCTGCCGATCAAGGCGCTGCTGCTCTCTGCCAGGTACTGGTTGATGGTACTGCCGCTGCCTTGCGATATGGTTGCGCTTCAAGGACGAAGCAGAGACTCCCGAGTGTCTATTATCGGCTGGTTGCACTCGGCTTCAACATCAGCACCACCCACTGCAGCGACGGCGGCAGCGGCAATAACGGCAGCAGGCAGGCAGGCAGGCAGGCAGGCAGGCAGGCAGGCAGGCAGGGAGGGGTACGAACCCAAGATAGCATCGTGTCTTGGACGACAAGGCTGATTCTGCACCTTTGCAGCGAGAGAGACAGGGTTCTCACGCTTAGCCATGTCTAACGTGGTCATCGTCCTCGGTCGCTCGGTGCTGCCACGGAATTCCTTCCATGAGGAACATCAATGTAGGGTGGTGCGTTCAGTGCTTCCTTGGCCTGGCAGAAGTTTCTGAAGCGATCGAGTGTGAACCCCATCTTCGTCCATGCCGTGTATCTTTCAGCTCACTACGGAGTAGCCATGCCCACAAATGAGAGGCGGGTTTGACAAGCACCATGTCGTCGGCCCATTAGGGTACGCTACAATCGCTAAGAGAAGGGTTATGCTGGTCAGAGACTCGCAAACTGCTCCATAGAATTCGTGCGTTCCAGAGCGTTAGTGACTGCGGAACCCTGTCGACTCGGATACCTAGGAAGCAAATTTGCCAGGGGCCTAGGCATCTTGTTTTGTCGGTGCGCTATTGAAATTGACATGGATGGAGCTCTGATGACGATCCGCCGCCCGCACATTGAGGCCTGCGATGCTTGTCGCAAAAAACCCCAGCAAGAGGGGAAAACCTCCTCGGCAGGATTCAGGGCAGTTGGCTGATTTCCTCTTCAGGTACGGTAGGTCAGGGGGGGTTCGAACCACGTATCAGGTACCGTACCGGATTCGGCACAAAGCTTCCACTGCGATGGGCTGGCATGCGAGTGGCCACTTTGGATCCTCGTCGTACGGAAGTACCAAGCCAGATCAACTCGGTGCCAAGAGCACAACGCTGTATCCTTAGTGGACAACAAGGGTACCCCAGACAGGATACATGGGGTGGGCTGAGATGGAGGCAGTCGTCGTCCCTGTCGAGGTGCCGAATATAGATGGAGGTGCCATACTGGTCGGTAGGCAAGACGAAGGAGAAAACGGTCTCGTGCTGACAATGACGGGAAATAATAGCCATGCATTAATGGTAGGTGAGATGACCATTGCTGCCGGCCGCATGTTGCCAGGATAAGGCTGTGCTGTGCTGGTCGCTAAGTACAGGTTCCACCGGACCCGGTGCTCGTATGCATGCGCCCATTGGCCGCAGTACGTGCCCGATCGGTGCTGGTGCTGATAACGACGGGGAGCTTCTGTATGCGAACGTCCCACGTTCTCCCCAAAAATCGGGAGGATGGTCAGATCAAACGCGCTTAGCAGCATGTCGTCATTGGAGGCCATGTCAAGATCAGACCCGGGCACCTGGTGAGCGACGGCGGGCACCTTCTTGGATCGCTGGGTCCCTGGTGATGTTTGAAGATGAGATGACATGCCATGCCATGCCATGCCACGCCAGGCAGGGGGTGGTGAATGTCAGTGCTCGCTGGAGGGAGGGGAGACGCTGAGGTTGACGGCGGTAAACATGTCCGAGTTTCGCAAATGCAGAGAATGGCAAGGCCAAGCGCGTCTTGGGCGCAACGGCTCCCGTCCATCCCCGTAAACGGGCCAATGCAGGTCTCAAGGCGAGAGTCTCTCATTCGACCGATGCAAACGCATGTTTGAGACTATGATCGACTAGTACTCCCCTCCCCACCCAAGGCTCCGGTATTGGTATTGATATTGGTATGGGTGTTGGTACAGGGTGCCATCAAAAGTAGGTACGGGCGGTGTGTTTTAGTCAAGGCTACTACTACCTATGCTGGCGATGGTTTCCTGGGTGTTGTCGGACGAGTTGTTGGTTTCCGTTCCTGCGAGGCTGTTTGACACCACCCAGTGCTGGCTTTGAGCATTCAGTTTTCCGGGGCCTCGCCAAGTTGACTTGATGATGCGCCAGAGGTAGTTGCATGCACACGCCAAATCGACTTGCGTAGGTAGTGAGTGTACTGACGCGCGGTGCAGAGCCTAGCGCGGTAGATTGAGGGAGCCCAGAACAGCGTCAACGAATAGTTGATGACAGAGAGGAAGGCCGGGGACGGAGGTTGCAGGTTGTCGGTCAACGCAGGCACCGGGACGCAAGTCAGCGGATGGATTTAGAATGGAATGGGCGCGTGTAAGTGGTGGTAATGGTGATGATGGTGGTAGTGGTGGTGGAGGTGGTGGTGGTGATGGTGGTTGAAGAAATGCATAGCCGGAGGAGGTACGAGCGGACGCGGTAGTGGATGACAGAGCGACTTACTGTGACGTGAGAATGCGACATAGAGAGAGATACCTCGAGACATGGTCCATGATCGGGCCTGGACGGCTGCATGTCGCATCCATGAACCCAACCAAGCCCCAGGTTCTGGGGAGAGACGGGACAGAAAAGAAAGAGGAGGGAAATCCCGAGAGGGCAGGGCAAGAGGGTACGGGTAGGGTGCGTGTGTTGCCTGGGCATATCATATGGCAGCAACGTTGCGATACCATGGTATTTGGCAAGAGCAGCCGGGGGATGCACATTGTCCAAAAAGGGCAAGTTCATGTGCCACATTACGAAATCCAGCCTTTGATTGGCCCATTTTACTGGTCCTGGCAGGCATGGTCCTCACGTGCTGGCTGGTGGCTCCCCATGCCCCTCCCTTCAACTTCTTCTGTAGGTACACTGGCCAGGACTGCTTGACGACATCCACGCAACCGCATTTCTGCAATGCGACATTTTACACTTCGCCCGTCTGCAGCGTCGTGACTAGGATTTGGCCTCCGTCACTGACCATGTCGAAAAAAAAAGATACACGTCACCTCCTCGTCTCCATGATATCGATAGAGCCCAGGCTTCGTTGCAATGCGGTCCGCATCGCTCGTCAGTCGTCACCTAGTCTCACTCTCCATATCCCGGGGTCTTGTCTATCTCAGCCCGGTCGTTCCAAAGCCGTCTCCCGATCGATGAACTACTGCTGGCCGCAGTCAGACGGGCCTTTTTCCAACCGGTCGTCGATCGGGTCGCTCAGGAACGGGCCCAGGAACCCGTAAAGACAACGACCAAGTGGGTTAGATGCAAAGCCAACACATGCTCTCCACTATCGTGTTGGGGCCGATGCATCTTGAGCAAGTCGGGCCCGATGCAAGACCCGCGGCAAACTGCTGCGGTACACCCCACAAAGACTGCCGCACATTCCCGCCCATGTAAAAAGACAAGGAGATGAAGAAGAAAAAAAAAAAAAAAAAGAACGCGACAACTCGCACGATGCTGCGAGTCTTTTGTGTAACCCAAACCCGGTCAGGAGTCATGATCCGGGCAACGTGATCTCGACCCTGCAGATGCAGATGCAGTGCACCCAGGCATGCGCCTCTCTCCATGCTCCAACATAACGGTCTGATATCATGTCTATCTTGTGCCCGTGGCTCTGAAACAGCACACCAGAGACCATCCACGACGATAGGGTTCGGTTCGACTCCAGGGCCCCAGGGAGCTGTACCCTCAATGACAAATGTCGTAAACAAGTCCAGGAGTGCGAAGCTCAAAACAGAGAGATGGGATCATGGCCATGCCATGCACCTCGAACGAGCTTACTTCATCTCCTTAGGACGCTCGTCAAGCGAAATGAATACACTAGACATTTTGCTTTTTGCGGGGGATTGTCAGTGAATGTAAGGGTTCCGTTGTCTTACAAGGAGCGCAAGCGATTGGACGACGACCGAAGCTGCAACAGTCCTCGACCTGCTACTGGACGTCATCCAGGGAGGTAGGTAGGTACATGCATACGCAGGTATCAATCTCCATCTCACTCCGTTGCCATCATCCATAGGTAGGTACACTACCTGCATGAGACGATGTCCCTTGTCTCCTTAGCCCCAGCACAGCCTCGCAGTAAGCAAGCCACCGAGGACTGAACCACATCACCGACACCAGTGCTAGTAGGGCCTCTTCCCATCACGGTGCCATCATAAAGTCCTGTACCCACTTTAGTCCACCGCTCAACGCCGTGCCCCCCGTCTCTCCCACCACGTCGGCCGGAGTCGCCGTCGGTCCTGAGTGGGCCTTGCTGCTCGACAATTCTGCACTTCTTCGCATGCGACAGCCGTCATGCCGCCCGAAACACCGCAAACATCGTCATTTCGTCCTACTGACCTCTGTATCTAAGCGAAATCAGGCACCAGTGTTCCAGGATGCCTATCTAGCCCGCCCGCCGGTAGAGTCCTCCCCCCACCCCCAACCTTCACCATCCACCGGATATGCACTCGACGTCTTCATCTTACGAATTACCCCGACCTGCGCACATGCTGACCTGTCACCGACATCATCCGATGCGCATACCAAGCCGCACATTCGCCAAAAAAAGCCCCGGTCACGATAGATAGCCGTTGTTTCTCTCAGACTCGCAGACCATGGAGCCAGCCTGCTGTTACTCACCTCGCTCGCACTACCCTCCACCGTGTTTGTAGCGCCTCGGGGTCTTCGCCCCCTCCCCTGTCCCATCGCGTTGCTTCGCCTGTCCCTGATCGTAACCCAAAATCGCCCGTTGAAAGTTGAAAGTTGAAACCAAATAGGGCTAGTGTCTGGTTGTGCTGGGCCACACCCAGGCTTTTGGCTTCTTATCCCCAGCCATGCTTTGATTCCAAATCTGTACTCGCCCAACGTTCCCCCTTCAGCCCTTCTCGTCCTATCTTTTGTTTTGCTTCCTTCTAGGCTTGCCCCGTAGCAGGTTAGACGAGCGTCTGACTTCACACAAAGTTCCTCGTCCATTGGCCCCCCCCCTCGAGCTGTGCCGCACATTGGACCCTGTTTCCCGCCTTCAAACGTCGGCTCCGCCGTTGGCCTCTTCCCGCAGCCACACATACACACACACACACACACACCCCCTTGAGGGATGCCGAAGCCTTCGGGCACCTGGTTGACCCCCCCGTCGATGCAGCAGCAGCATCAGAGCCAACTCTGACTCTGATGCCTTGGATCTTGTAACAGTTCAACGTGGTGGCGAAAGTGAGGCTCAACTCCCAGACTCGTGCCTTGGCTCTGTCATCAAAGGGCCCGCTCGGCGTCTAACAAGCCGGATCCTACAAGGCGTTTTGCGCTCCCGTTTCCCTCTCTGACCGTCGAGTGCTAGCCGCCTTCCCGCGACATCTCTCTTGACGAGCCTGGACTCCTTCCCTCCAGGGAAGATCTCTACGTATCACAGTCGGGCTACCGCCGAGGGAGGAGGCTTCCGGGCTCCAAAGCTCGTGTCATCTCATTTTCCAATACGCAAGGTCAGCGAAAACACACGCCCAGGACGCGTGGGATACACATCTCAAGCGCGCATCCCATCCGCCGCCGCACCCACACATTCCAGGATCCCCCATCTCAGCTTCGGCTGGGATGTGCCCTGGACGCTCATTTTCTCGTCGTGCGTTTATCAAAAGTCGACAAAACGTGTCACCGCTCTTCCGAGCCGTGAGCTCTCGACACGCCGTTGCGGAATCACGGGAGACATGGGAATGTGTTGGGGGGGGGGGGGGGCTTCAAAATTGGCCTCAAGTGCCCCACGTACTTGATTTGTCCTGTTGGACTCTTGAACAGGCCGATGGTCGTCGGCGCCGGGGCCGGGGGACCAACAGGACGTGGAATTCGCAGCCCGCCCGTCCACCTGACCTGCGGGCAGCCAGATTAGCCCGCCGTCAGGCCGGTTACCCGGCAGCTCCTCCAGTCCCATCCCCTCCTCCATCATCATCAGCTTCCCCCCCTGCCCCCGTCGCCTCCGCCGCAATTCTTCCTGGAGGCGACGACGACGACGACGCCGTCGCCGGCGCGGTGGCCATAGGGCCCCTGATCTGGGTCGCCCCATTGGGGCTCCTTCTGGACTTTCAGGTCTTCTGTCACCCCGACCCCAACGACCCGGACTACGACGTCGCCCTCAACGCGGCCATCGACCGTCTCCGGGAGCTGGGGAGACAGCGCGCCGCCCTTGGCCGCACAGGCCTGGGCCTGGACCGGCAAGACGACGACGAAGATGATGATGATGACGACGACGACCAAGAGTACGTCGAGGAGGATGCACGGCGGAACCGTTGGACGGAGACCCGACAGGCTGCCAAACATGGATGCCGGACAACGTGGCGCGAACCCCAGCTTTGGGGAGAACAATCGATCGACGCGGAAGTCGATGAATAATCCTTCTATCCCAAAACACGCTCCTAGACTCCGCCGCCCTGGCTGGTTGCCCGCCCATTCCTTGCCCTCGGCCTCTCATGTCTTGTCAAAAAACGGAAATGAAAAACCGTCCCTCCTCCTCGAAGGGTGGGGGGGAGGAGTTGGAAAGTCGTTAGCGGCGGACCTAATCCCGCCCCCCCTCCCTAGATTTGAAGGGCCGGGATGTCAGGAAGCGGACGTGTAACGGTGTCGGAACTGCGAAAGAAGGGAGGGGAGGGAGCAAGGATGGCTCGACCTCATCCCGCTCAACCGTACCGGGACGAGATTTCGTTCAAGCCCGCCATCGTTTGCTGGCGGTGGCTCAAAACACTGCCCCCCCAAATCTCGTACTCTCCTCGCTGCTCTCGCCCCCCCCCTCCCTCAAAGAAGACACAAGCTCCCTCTCTCATCTCTTACCCGCCGTCACTTACTCATCCACATGGGAGCTCAACTATCTTCTCACGCACGCACGTACGAAGGATCTGATGTTGGACCGGCAGGCAGCAGCTGGAAAGGGGAGGAGGGGCACAGTCAGAAACTTTTCGATGGCTTTCCCATTCTCATTCCCTACTCTGTTCTTCTATCAACCTTGCAGCCCAGAGATGAACCCCGCCGTCCTTTCGGCCGTCTGAACCTTTCCGTCAGGCCGTAGATGGCGAGCCCGCCGGCTCTCATCACCCCGCGTCTGCCGTATCATGTATCATCACGGCATCCAGGTTGCCGTCATTGCTGCTGCTGTCTCTTCCTCTTCCTGCCTCAGGCCACCTGTCACGACACAGCGCCCTGGCCAGGATCCTTCATTGCAACGCCATTCGTCATTATTAATATACATATCTTGGACTCCCGTTTCTAGCTTCTCGTGGCGTATTTTGTAAGACAACGACGAGCCGCCCAGCTGGCCGTCCCGTGTCTCGTCCATGCCTCAATCCTCCTCGCTAGACGGGTAGGCCCGTGCCGTAGAACATAAGCTTTGCCCCCTTGCTTTCTGCTCTCTACGGGTCTAGACCCCACGTCTGTATATAAAGGGGTAGAGGAGGGGGGGGGGGGGGGGGGTGGTTTATGTGAGAAAGAGAGAAAAATGATGCGGTTGAATGGCAAAACCAGGACCGTCAGTCGACAAACCCGACTATTCCCTCGCCATGAAGGAAAACTGTCCTGCCGTGCCCAAATTTGACTCCTTTCCTTCCGGTTGTGACTCTCATGCTGGGTATTCCGTCACTCCATTCAAGCGTGGGTTTCATGGCGCAGGAGCAATTTCGCTGCTCGTTCGGGATGTGTGGCGTTAAGGGGGAATAAAAACAAAAACAAAAGTAACCAACTACCCAATCAATGACTTGCAAAACCACCTCGCCGGCAAATGCTTCAACCCGCCATCCGCCATCCCGTCATGCGCGTCCGTTACCCGTTACCCGTGAGCCGCTCACAGCCCTCTTCTGCTCATGGCCGCGGTAGCTCCGGCGGAAGCCAGGTCCTGTTTGGCGCTAACGCTTCTAATCGCCGCACGTGGGAGACTGCTGGTTCCGGCCGTGACGCCGGCCTGTCCAGTGCTGGTTCGTTTGGCTGTAGCTACATGGACTGTGCCGCTGGTTGCGATAGAGGGCCTGCGAGATGATGTTACAGAAACGGGCTTCTGGGGGCTCGCACCGCTAACTTCTCTCGATCGGATACCGCTTTTGAGACCCGTTGCCGGCGGCTCAGGAAGAGGCCGCGGCGCGGCAACGGTGTGGCGCTTTACCGGGGACGCCTCGCGAGTCGCAACCCGCGGCAAGGTTGCACTTATCTTCTTGCCGCTGATGAATTCGTGGTGAATGGCCTCCTCGGGCTTAAGACGCCTGTCAGGATCCCAGCGAAGACACTTTGCGAGGAAATCCAGGAAAGCCTCGTCGTCGCACTTAAGGACTTGCTGCAGCGTCTTGGAAGACGGGCGGCGTCTGCGGCCCTTGGAGGATACCGTGAGGCGCGGCTTGCCCATCGAGTCGAAAAACAGCTTCTTGCGGGTGCTCTTCTCAATAAGATGCTTCTCCGGGGGACCGAAGACCTCCATGATGCAGGCAAGTTGCTCCTGCTCGTTCTCTCCGGGGAATATGGGAACGCCCGTGTAGAGCTCGGCGAGAATGCACCCGAGACTCCACATGTCGATAGGCATGCCGTACGTCATGCCCAGGATGACCTCGGGTGATCTGTAGAATCGCGACTGAATATACGTGTACACCTTCTCGTTCTCGAAACAGCTTGATCCGAAGTCGATGACCTTGATCTCGGAATGCAACGGATGGCGAAGTAAGATGTTCTCGGGTTTGAGGTCGCAGTGAATAACCTTGTGTTGCTTCAGCAGGTTCAATGAGCTCAGCATCTGCTTGGTGAAACGACGGATGAGCTTGAGGGAAAATCCGCGGAAGGCGTTCGCTTTGATGAATTCGTAGAGGTTCATGTCCAGGAGCTCGGTCGAAATGCAGAGGTGTCCTCGGAAGTAGAAGCTGTGAGTAAAGTTGACCATGCTGTGCCGATTCTTGGGATCCTGGATAATGGTCAGCGTCCAAAGCACGGGAAAAAGAAAAAACCAAGATGTCGCGATTGCTCACCCATTCGCGAAGCTTTTGTAGAATATTGACTTCGACAAGAGCTTGTTGATGAAACCTCTTCTTGTTCCTAATGATTTTGACAGCCACAAGCACACCCGTCTTGTGGTCAATGCACCGGACGACTTGACCAAAACTTCCCTTTCCAAGAATATCAATAATCTCGTATCGGTACGCAAGGTGGTCCCCGGCAACTATGGTATAATCACCGCGCTCGTCGTCGTAACCGAAGTTGGGGGCATCAGACTGAAGGTCACCGACCACCTTGCGGGCGTTCTGTGTTCCACAGAAGTAAACATCGTTGTAGTCGACAATCTCACCCCGCTCGTAGATATTGAGCATGGCAATTCGGATAGCTTCCTGAGACCCGACCCGCTCCTTCGGCGTCGCGCGTTTCCTCAAAGCGTCGAGCGTCCTGGCCGCGATTTCCGTCTCCTTGCGTCTCGAGCCCATCTTCTTCATCTCCTCCTCGGCAACCAGGTCATCCTTATCGAGGTCAGCTGTCCACGGGTCGTGGTGGCGCATAGCGGTCGTCGATGCCTTCGGGCGCAAAATCTTTTGCATGACGGATGGATTGTGGGCGTGCGAGGAGTCACTAGCTGTCTTCTGGGCGGAGGCCGAGGCCCAATTCTCGCTCTTCGTTCTGTCATGGCCGAGACTTGCTGCCGAGCTTTTCCTCCGTCTTGATTCGAGGTATGAATTGCTGGCCTTCACCGATGGGCTGGGACTGTTTTTGGCCGAACTCAGATTGCCGACCGTCGCAGATATGGGCAACCGCGGCGGTGGCATCTGTTCCTTACTCAGGGCGCGTTCCACCGTCTTTTCCGAGGGGTTGCCTTTAGAGTCATTCTTGGACGTGTTCCGCTTCCACGACAAGCTCAACTTCCTACGCAAAGAGCTCATTGAGGAAGGGGTGGGTGGCTCTTCCAAGTCGGAGGCCGGTGGCGTGGGCGACTTTCCCTTGACAACCCGCTGGGCACGGGGACCAGAAGGCTTCAGATGCGGTTTCACTTCGAGAGGTTCCGTAGTTGCTGTTGAGTCGCCGGTCTGCGATCGCTTCAAAAAGGCGGGGTCCGCGCCTGGCTTGGGCACCGAGGAGGATAGAAATGGAGACACGCTGGGCTTCCTAGGTGTCTTGAACGAGACCGGAATTCGCACTCCCTCGAGCGATTCGGAGGAGCTGGTACCTTCAACACCAGACCCACTTTCGATCCGAGTGTGGTGAACAGTGCTGTTGCTCCGCCGAAAGTCTGATTTTTCTTCCTGATGGTTCCTTGAGAAGAAGGAGCTTTTCGATGCGGTCATGGGGGTAGTCGGCGTCTTTGCAATGATGCGCGACGGAGGTGGGCTGAGCTTTCTGTCGGGATCATTCTGGCCAAGAGCTGCGATCTTCGCGCTCGTGGAAGGATTCAGTGGACCGACCGTGATTGGAGGTAGTCGCACAGGCGGGGGGTTTTTTCTCGGTTGGGCTGCATTTGCCTTCTTTTCGGTATCCGGGCCGGTTGCATTCGTCAACTTCCGGGTACTAGCCTTCCGTACTACCTTGACAGCGGGTTCGGGGATCGAGGGAATGGAGAGGCTGCCGGTCGAGTTGCTATTAATGCTGCTAGCATCAGCTGCGAGGTTGGCTTTTCGCTTGTCCAAAAACGACGCCTCTGTGGCTGACTGCTGTGGTGACTCGTACGCTTTCGGAATGGCAGGTACTGGTGGGACGTCCTCGTCATCGTCAGCGGAATGGGAGTTATGATTATGCGGGGTTAATGATTTTGGTGCTGGCAGCCGTGATGCGGCTCCCGCGGCAGGCACTCGGGGCTGAATTGAGCCTGTCGAGGTTCGCACGGTGTTGAAACTATTGGTCGAGGTGATGGAGAGGCCAGAGCTGTAAGACTTTCTGTTGATATCGGGCGTCGTCCGGGACGAAGAAGGCGTGGCAGATGCCTTTCGGGGTATCATGGACGGGGATCTGGAGTGGTCTCGGTGCTCTCGGGGCGGAGGCGGCGCGGTGGCTGCATCGATTTGACCCGAGACTTGGTGCACGGAGTGCATGGATAAGCGCTTCATTCTTCGTGTGTCCGTAGGACTGATGGTCCTGGCGCCGAGCCCGCTTGCGTGCGATGTGTGCGGCATTCCGGGCAGGCCCGACTGTCTCCTTGACTGCGCTGAGCCTCCACCGTTGTTTCCTTTGCTGCCGCCTCGGGGAGAACGCGGAGAGATGGTGGAAAGGCGACCGTTGTCTGGTGTCGACAGATTGGCGGTGTTGGAGCGAGGCAGCGCTTGATGCATGGACTTGGATTTTGCGGCTCTGCTGCTGGCGAGGTTCCGTGGGGTCTCGAACCCAACGCCAGCACCGACATCAATCGAGGCCCGAGGGAGATCCGTTGAGCTCCCATTGTGAGATGTAACACTCGGCCTCCTCCGCTGCGCAGTGCGACTGCCAAAGTCCGTCTCAATGACACCCGGGCCGATGGATTTCCTGGGTGGTTTCGCGATATGGGTATTTGATACAGGGGGGTAGTGACTCTGCCTCCGAGACCTCGCAGCTGAGGGGCCGGTCGATGTGTCTACGGCGGACGACGGGCCAGAGGCAATAGACGAAATACTCGGCTGCCTGCTAGAGGTACTGGGTCTTCTCAGAATCGAACCGGATCTCCCCGTGCGAGTAACGGGGGGAGGAATGCCGCCGCGCGCGGATGCGCCATTCTGAACAACGTTGGAAGCCCCCGCCATCTTGTCGGTCGTGCTCCCGGCGTCCAGAACGCTACTTTGTCCGGCTGAGGTCGAATACTGAGCCAATTTGAAATTGTTGGAGGCGGACTCGAGGCTGCTCTGGAGGTCGTCGAAGTTGACCGAAGGCAGGAAGTCGTATGAAGCTGCCGAGTCTCCTACGTCATTCGCGGCGCCATTCCGACCGAACGAAAAGAGAGGCAGGTTGTTGGCGGAAGGAGCACTGAGCATTGGACCGTTGGCACCAGAGCCCTTTGAAGGAGAGTGGGTTCTCGAGTCTGGGATGCCCCTATCACTGCTGAAAGCGTCGGGTTAGCCTAAGTGCTTGTTCATGGATGCATGGGCCGGGTACAACAAAGGCAGGAAACAAGAGCAGCAGCAACAGCAGCAGCAGCAGCAGAAGCAGCAGAAGCAACAGCAGCGGCGGCGGCAGAACGACAAAAAGGGGAGGGTATTCCGTACAGTCTGTTCGGGGACTGGTTCGCCGGTCGCGGGCCAGCAGGTATTCTATGCTCCCTTATCATGTGTATGGGGTACCACGGCCAGCGCGCAGATCATGCGGGCGTTGGTCGCGAGATGGCGTTTTGGCGAGGGATTATGCGGGCAAGACGATTCGGCCAGTCGAGGAAAAAGCCGATGAGGCAAGTGGGATTCGACAAGGCGCTGGAGGGGGAGGAGAGAAGGAGGAGAGGAGGAGGAGAGGAGGAGGAAGAGGATGAGGATGATGATGTTTCGCGGTGCGTGCAACCTCAGTCCTGGCAGGGAGCTGAGAGCATTGAAGAAGCTACCTCATTCCGGGACAAGAGAGGATAACAAGGGCGGATGAATGGGGGTGTGTCGCTGTTGTCGAGTCGAGTCGAGTCGAGTGTGGTCGAGTCGACAGAAAGGAACGGAGTTGAAGATGCGGAAATAGCGTCGTCGAAGGGAGGCGGGCGGGCACGTAAGGCGTAACCACCAACTTCGCCTACGAGGAGGTAAGCAGGAGTGAGGTTGGACAGGGCCGGTGCGGACGACAGAACGACGGGCAAGGACGACGACGGCTCTGGATCCCGTGCGATGATTGTTTTTGTTCGAAAAAGAAGGACCCGCCGCTTGCCAGTGGTAGGTAAACTACCTAGGTAGTAGGTACTATGTATTCGTAGTCAGGCAGGCAAGTCACGACCAGGGTGGTGGAGCGTGCTTGGATGGAGCAGCACAGCAACTGGAGCCTTTGCCTCCGTTCTCTCTGAACCTTTTCTTGTCTTTGTTATTTGTTTTCTCACTTTCTTACGTCTTGACCCCCTTTCCCTGTATAAAAAAAGAGAAAAGGAGAGAGGAGAGAATTCACAATTCAGTAGGTCTGCAGGGCAACGGAGGAAGGAATCGAGCCTAAGTAGATTGTCAGTTGAGGTGGACGGCAGCAAGTACTCCTTGCCTAGGTATTCCGTGGGAAAGGTCAGGTGAGGCACAGAGAGAGAAAGAGAGAGAGCGAGAGAGGGAGGGAGGGAGGGGAGGAGGGAGATTGGGGGGTTAGGTGAGCAAGGTAGGTAGGTAGGTAGCTGCAGCATGCAAAGGTACCTACGGACCGAGGTACTTAGGTACATAGCACAAGGCGAGCAAAGACGAAATAGATGGGGAGCGGACGGGAGAAGCGTCAACAAAGAGGGCAGCAGCCGCATCAGAATGGCCCGAGTCCCCTGACCCTCAAGTTTTGATATGCTCTGTGCCTAACTAATGTGAGATTCCTTACCAGTGCATTGGTCGTAATATTACTGCAGAGAGGCCCAAGGCCGCAGCCAAGGGGTTCCCCGTGAGTTGTTGTTTACCCGTGAGGTACGGTACGGTACGGTACGGGTACGTATACCTAGGTAAGGTACGGTTCCGTTTAGAGAGCACCCATGCACACCACATTGCATGCACGACCTACAATGTACCTACTGCTGCAGCCTGCAGGTAGGTCGCTTTCTGGTGGGCTGGGCGAATGATGGGGCTAGGGGAAAACAACAAGAAAGAAACGAAGAAAAAAAAAGGTGGCGGCTGGAGATGGTTGGCGGTTTTCATGGGTCCATCCATCCATGGTTGGAAAAGCACCGAGGGGGAGGAAAAAGGGTGGTGGTCGGTGCAGTGGATGATGCCCGCGGCGGCCCCTCACCTGCATTCTGGAAAGAGTAGACGGGAAGGAAGGGGGGGGGGAGGTACATGCCGTGTTGGCAGGGGTTACCCAGTGTTTGCACGAGCTCTGGAAGGGAAAAGAACAGAAATTGAACGATTTTCTCTTTCCTGAAGCTTCAATAAAAACGCCGATAGTTACCGGTAGGTGGCATCCGTACCATGGTAGAACTGAGATGCTCAGATTGATCATCTGCCTGAGGTAAAGAGATCGTCTTCACCGGAGGTACGGACACATTGTACCTTCTCACCGCATGCTCATCAACCCTCTCGGGTCGGTGTGGTGATATGGAACCCATCAAATAGCGTGCTTTGCCCCCCTCCCTATTTCCCCATCCCCTCCCTTGGTCGAGAGGCTGCTAGATAACTTCCCCAAAATGAGGCAAATCTTATGGAGCAGGCGGTATCAAAATTCTGACCATCGTACCTCCTCCCAGGATCCCTAACTCCCCCACCTCCCTTTCACCAACAACTTGACCAAGTCTAGGACAGAGTCCTCCTGCAAATCAAACATGAAGCGGACCCCCAGCCGCTGGATGACTGATGGCTTGGGGGGTTGCGAGATGGATGGCGTTTTTCTCTCTTGCTCTCCCTACCTCTTTTTTTTTCTTTCTTCTTTTTTCTCTCGAGAAGAAAAAATATAACCAAGGACCCCGCTGTTTGTCATTGTCGTCGACCGACAATCAACAACCCCGGCATTCCCTTATTCGAGCAGATACCAGACCGGTCGACGACAACCAACAACTCCGGCGTTTCCTTATTCGAGCACATATCAGACGTCCGGCTAGCAGTATCAATATCTACAAATTGACTTGACATGACATCCCGTCATCCTGCTCGTTGCCACTAACCATGGTTCTCTGCTTCGACCATCCGTCGATCCATCTGCGCTATCTGCAGATACCAAGAAAGACGACTCGTCCATCATCTTGACCGGGTTGTTTCGAATTTGGTTCAACGCTGTGAACCGCGCATTGGCGTTGTAGCCAGCCTCAAGTCAGCACCATTGCGCGCCCGGGTCCGGGCCTCGTCTGTCCAGTCCGGGGCGACGTTGGGAAGCTTCCACGGTCCGAAGTCATCACTGTCACTCATGCGACGCGTCTCTGGTTTCCACTCGCGCCAATGAGCGGCGGCCATTGCAATATCCGCGCTCTCGGCCCCAGCTCCAGACGCAAAGTCAAAGAGGAGGGCCGTCTCTGCATCATGGCGCGCGACGTTTGTTATTGTCGCCCCATCAACAGGAAGACCCTGGACTGGAAATCAGCATGGGTTATGGGTCAAGTGTCTCAACACCCAAAGGCAAGAAGCCCCATCTTGGAGGGGCGGCCCAGTGAGAATTGAGCTTCTCTGGTTAAACCGTCTGCCACCTACCCAGGGATGGATGCAATGCGCCCCCCCTCATCTGCATTCCTCTCCCCGCCTCCCAACTCTCAAGGATGACCGGCCGGTAGTCAGGCACAGCCAACCAAGCAATCCGCAATCCGCCGTGCAGACGACATTGTTTATGCACGCTACCCGCGCTGCTGCTGTGGTGCCGAGGAGAGACACAGCAGGAATCGCGTCTCTCGTTTCCGGGCACCGCCGCCGATGATTGAAGAGACGCCGACCGAATTCGGCCCAGGCCGACGGACCACCACAACTGAAAGTCGAAAGCCACCCGCAAGTGACGTGCACCTACGGCCGCTGGTGGTTAGTCGTGCCGTCAGCCAGGCTTCGTAAGCTCACAAGTGCCAGGGGCCACACGTCTGTCCGCTCCCGGCGGTAGCTGCTTTCCCAGGAACCACATAGTGCCAGATCTCCGTCCACAACCAACAGCACACTTGTCACTTACCCTTCGGAAGGACTGACCTCCTGGCGGCCCAGCCGAGAAGAAGAAGCGAAGCGGAGCGAAGGCTGTTCGGTTTACTCCGCGCTGTGGACCTCTATTAGGTACTTTGATTACACCATGCACTAATGATGGCAGACCATCGGGCAATTCCTATCCAGGCGTGGAACAACCATGACAGCTGAGGGTCAAGTCTGGTAGGCGGTTGATGATCCATCAATTGGTTTGCGTGCGGATATGCGGATATACTGGACCCTGATATGAGAGGGATACTACGACCACACCGGCTAGCTCCTGATACAGACAGACCACCATTTTGTTTGGTTCATCTATGCCCAATCACGAGGCATGCTGCCAGGGGGCCCACGTCAGGTTTTTGTTTTCTTAACGGGGTGCTGCTATAGCTCGTTATAGACTGCACTGCACACCTACATCATCTACATTATCTTCACACACGGGATCGGTTCGGATGTTTTAACGTCCCTTTACTTCAATGCGGGCCATCAAAAACAAGGTCTTCAGGGCGACACGACACGACACGTCTCTAGAGAATCGACAATCAATCCACGATATTTTAATGTCGGAATCTCATAAGCGGAACATGCAACCCTATCGGCGACCCGGCGGCTTCAACATCTAGCCGCTTCATCTCGGTCGGCAAGTCATTCATGGAGGACTTGGGCTGCAGCCATGCGATTTGGCACTTTTCCTGAAAAGGGTTACCCCTGACGAAGTGTCTTACTCGGTCTGTCGGACCACTATTGAATACCTACTTGCCGCCAATGATGTACCCTATGTCTAGCTAGGGCACAAGCTACGCGGAATCCCATTCCGGCTCAGCCAGGGCTGCGTCGATATCGCAGCATCTGTAGCTCGAGCCTAAAGAACGCCCACCCGGTCCGTCTCCTGCAAGTACTGTTGCGACATGGCGTCTTGAATCGTACTGCCGTTGGTTAAGACGGGCTCGGGGGCTTTGCCTAGTAGAAACTTGGCTGTACCAAAGAGGCCATTGCGCCATTTGACATGGTTTGGCATGCGGTGGCAGAACCACACTGGGGGATGCCCCCTTTTCTTTCTAGTGCGGACTTCGGACTGCCCTCTGCCCTATTCCGTCGGTCTCATTCTCCGATGCTCTCGATGGCGCCATGTTCGACGCGCGCTGCTCTGCTTTCTTTGTTGCTAGCCACACGTGGTGGGGCCACGGCAAGCACTGGACAGACAGACAGCAAAAGCGACCAAAGCGCCGGGTGTAATTTCCCGCCTTCAGCCTGACGACCCTCTCGTTGTCTGGCTCGCAGCAACCTAATTTTGGATACCACTTTTGAAGTTGACAAGGTGCTGGATTACTTGACAGTCTTGAATGCTTATAGTTTCGTGCGAGAGGCTTGTTTTTGTTGGCAACTTAGCAACCTTTACAGCCGGAGGATTCGTGCCTGGCTCCAGGTACTGAAACAGCCGGCAAGAGTCTCCAAGAGTCTGTGACCTGACTCCGAATACCTATGGTCTCTGTTGTGTTTAGACGGCACGGTGACATTCTGTCTGCCGAGATGGGCCAATCTGCGGACCACAAGTTGCAATATCTTGGCAGAGATCTCATGGTTGCTTTTCCCTTCTAGTTCGCCAGCCACACCCAGCCTGCGTCAGAAGACAGTTTACAGTTGTCCCCACGGGAAGCCCCATCTACCCGGGTCTGTGTCTGTGGAAGCAAGTGGATGCTGATAACCAACCACTTCCAGGGGATGATGGATGTTGTGTGTTGTGTCTTGTGCCAGGTGCCAGGTGCCAGGTGCCAGGTGGTGGCCGCCGACTGGACGAATGTGCTGCCCAAGTCACTAATTACAGCTCCGCTAGGGGGGTTACTGCTGCCGCCTCTACGGACCCGGCATCCCCAGACTGCTGCATTGCGACCCAGATCACATGCAGCCGGGGAAAGTTTCCACCAGCCGTGCTGCTCCAATGACATGCTCATACCAGCTGGCCTCATACCTGCTCGCGCAGCTTCTTCGCAACATCAGGAAAGGCACCTGCACCTCGAAATTGTTGGAAAAGAAAGACGTCATCCGGAAATAGCACGCTTGTCACACACTTTTTGACACCTCCATAGGTGTGTACCGGTACAGCCGCAGCACCGCTCTGTCTGGCGGCTGCCAGCCAAACGATGACGTGACTCCGAACAACGTCAGACAAGCGAAACAACCGCCATCGCATCCCGCCTGACCCGTCGCACCCACCACCACCACCAACAACAAACTCGAGATCACGCGGAGCGACCATGGACGAATACACGGCCGACCTCTTCATCTCGCGCGACGATATCTCCGATCATCATCAGCCGCAGCAGCAGCAGCCGCCTCCGACGGTGATGGTTGACGAGTGGCAAGCCGACGCCAGCGAGACCACTCCGTCGTCCAAGAAGTCGGGCACTGGCCTGCGCTCGCGCATCGCCAATAATCTGGGCAAGGGACCAAGCATTCAGGACCGACTTGTCGAAAAGTGAGCACATACAAGGCCCTCTCCCTCCGTCGTAGCCGGCATCACCATACCATCATACTAAACCAGGCCTCTAGACTCCTACAGCAGGTCATCCCCGAGAGCTCCGATGGCCTCAGCAGCGGCGACGACCCCCTCGCGCCGGGCTTCTCCTCGGATAAGACGTCCACCTTCTCCCAGCGCCCCAACTTCAACATTACGACCATGTCCAACAACTTCCGCCGCTTCAACGCCCGCATCGGCGTCGTGTTCAAGTTCCAGGCCCGCGTTAGCCGCCTGCTCAGCTGGCGCCGTCCAACGCACACACTCTCCCTCCTCGCCGTATACACCTTCGTCTGCCTGGACCCGTATCTCCTCACCGTGGTGCCACTCGCCGGATTTCTGTTGGCCGTCTTCATCCCCTCCTTCCTTGCCCGCCACCCCGCGCCGCCTTCGGGCACGCTGTCCTCGGAGCAGTCCATCGGCTACTCCCCCAAGGGCCCTCCCCTCGCCCCGGCCCGGACCGTAAAGCCCGTCAAGGAGCTCAGCAAGGACTTCTTTCGCAACATGCGCGATCTCCAGAACTCCATGGACGACTTCTGCGTCGTCCACGACACCGTCGTCGGCAGCGTCCTCCCCATCACCAACTTCTCTAACGAGGCCCTGTCGTCCGCCTTGTTCCTCGCCCTGACCCTCACCACCGTCCTCATGACGACTTTCGCGTCCCTCCTGCCGTGGCGCCTCATCGCCCTCACGGCCGGCTGGGGCGTTATCCTCTCGGGCCACCCGGCCATCGCCCCGCTCCTGACACACACCCACGACACCCACGTCGCCCCGCACGAGGCCAAGGCCCGCTCGCGCCTCGACGCGTGGATCGCCGACGACATCATCCTCGACTCGGCCCCGGAGACGCGCGAGGTCGAGATATTCGAGCTCCAGCGCGCCTCCCACGACGAGTGGGAGCCCTGGCTCTTCTCCCCGTCCCCCTACGACCCGCTCTCCCAGCAGCGCATCGCCGGAGACCGGCCTCGCGGCACACGCTTCTTCGAGGACGTCCTCCCGCCCGACGGCTGGGTCTGGTCCGAGAAGAAGTGGGCGCTCGACCTCTGGAGTAGGGAGTGGGTCGAGGAGCGCATCATCACGGGCGTCGAGGTCGAGACCGAGGGCGAGCGCTGGGTCTACGACATGTACGACGAGCACGGCGCCTTCCAGGGCGGCGTAGGCGTCATGGACTCGCCGACCACGGGCAGGGCTAGGCCGAGGGCGCCCCAGGCGCCGACCCCCAGCTGGGAGGAGGGCGAGGACGGCACCGCCCGCCGGGGCGAGTGGAGGCGGCGGCGCTGGGTGCGGCTCGTCAAGAGGAGGGCCACGACGAGCTCTGCTTAAAAGCGCGCGGTGCCGTGCGGCTGTACGATGATGATTAGGATTTAGTAATGAGAAATGATACCAACATGATTGAAACATGTCGGGACACCCGCTCCCCTACCTCTTGCGTGCGCATCATGTCGGCCGCGGCGGCTACGTCAGGTTCCATTGATGCTGCAAGTCTCCAACCGGACAAAAAGCCCCGGATGGGACAGTACCTATTCACGAGTCTGTATGCGTATATACAAAAACATGCCTACATGACACGGGTGGCCGCTACCGAAAGGGGGACCCTCCCTTTCCACGAGTCTTCTCTGTCAGTGCCTCGAGGTTGCAAAGGGAAGGAAGAAGAAAAGGCCCGGCAGTATCGCCATTGTGAAGATTGTGCGTTCTCATTGTATCGTTCGTGAAAAACCTGGACCGTCCAGCTGAAGGGTACGGGACTCGGAAGGAGGGGGGGTAGGCCGGCATGTCGGCTGCGCGCCTCCTCCGTCTCCTTCCCCCCTGCCTCTCAGCCCGGCGGTCCGGTCTCAAAGGTGTCTAGATGCAGCTGTCCGCGACGCGACGTGCCGGCCGGTGGTTTCACTAAGCGGAAACCCAATGGGGAAGTAAAACGTCCGCCATTTAGCTCTCTCTCTCTCTCTCTCTCTATCGTTCTCTCAAGTAAGCTACCGTCTCTCTGCTCCCCCTTGTCCAAGCGCTTCTCGGTATGATCTTCTCTCTGCTCCAACGCCCTCCAAGACTGTTCCTTTTGGGTATGATTTCATTCCGCCTCATGCGCAAAGAAAGAAAAAACAAAACAGCAATCATTCCCGTAAAAGAAAAGAAAAACCTCATGACGTCGCCGAGTCGGCGAGAGCCATTTTGTCCAGGATCTTGTACATGCCCTTGGTGAGGCCGCGACCCTCGTCAATGTCTTGGACGGCCTTGCGCGCGCGGTCGATGAGGACGCCGACGACCTGCTTCGTGTACTCGAAGCTGCCGGTGCTCTCCATGCGTGCGACGGCGAAGCGCTTCACCTCGACGTTGTTGGTCTTCTGGGCGAGGATGTTGATGAGCTGCAGGTTGGAGGGGTCGGAGCGGATGCTGTGGATGATGGGGAAGCTGAACTTGCCCTCGGTGAGGTCCTCGCACATGCCCTTGTTGTCCGAGTATTCTTTCGACGAGAGATTCATGTAGTCGTCGCGGATCTGGAAGATGAGGCCCATGAGGTTGACGAGCTCGACGCAGTCCGTCAGGCTGCGCGACTCGGCCTGCATAAGCTTAATACCAAGCCGGAAGAGACCGCCTGTCTTGTTGCCAACCATCTCAAGGTAGTCCTCCTCGGTCGGGCAGGTGAGAGTGTCGCGCCAGAACAGATCCATGCCTTGGCCGCGGTGGAGGTGGACGAGCTCCTCGGCGAAGATGGTGATGGCTTTTGGGTTCTTGAGGCGCTGGACCTCCTGTAGGGCGCGGAAGTAAATGTAGTTGGCCGAGTTAATGGTCTGGGCGACGCCAAAGATGTTATGGGCGACGGGGAGGCCGCGGCGCAGCGACGACGAGTCCTCGACGTCGTCGATGAGGAGAGAGGCCGTGTGCAGCATGCCGACGACGTTGGTAATGACGTCGATGCTCTCCTGGGGCACTTCGAGCCAGACGTTGAAGGCCTGGATCAGCTGGGAGCGGAAGTCCTTGCCCGGGAGCGCGGAGAGGTAGTCAAAGGGGCCGGCGATGACCTTTTCTTTCTCCTCGGGCCAGGTCTTGCGGGTGAAGTTCAGGTCGGAGGTCGCATAGCGCTCGGGGTCCGGGGGCGGGGGAGGCTGCATGGTGACAGTGAAGGAGGTTGCGTGGTTCCCCAGAGAGGGTTGACGGGGTCGGTGGGAGGATTGCGAACGCGAGTGGGTGCGGCTACTGGAGGCGCAGCGGGGTCGGGATAGCCAGTCGGTTTCGAGGACGGGACGGAAGGGCACTCTGGAGGTTGTGGGAGTGGGCGCGGCGGCGAGGGAGCCGGGGACGGTGGAGGTGTAGCCGATGGAAGATTTCCGAGAGGGGATGAAATTGGGTGGGGGAGAGGGGAAGGAGGGGTTATTTGTAAGGTCCCGAGACTTGTCGGCGGCTTTCTTTGATGTAGGCAACGTTGGCGTTGTAGGCAACATCGTGAAAGGGAGCCTTTCCCAAAGGGCCGGGAAGAGGCGTGGCTTCTTAAGAGTGTCTGAGTCTGGGAGGGAGTACCCGGTCCCAACAGTTCCCGTTCCTGCGGCAGCCGGCGTTGGTGCGGATGGTGCAGCGACTCGAGCTTCAGCCCCCGCCCCTCCCCCCCCCGTTGGCTCAAGCTCAAGCTCAAGATCGGAGCTCGCGCGGGCCGGGAGATCCGGTTGGTGGAGCTCTGTCCGCTGGATTGTGGTCGAATCGGTCAGCTGGTGCTGGTGCTGGTGCTGGTGCTGCTGCTTTCGCTGTCGTCGGCAATGCTGCTTATTCGGGTCAACGTCACCACTTGCTCAGCCAAGGTGGATTCCAGTATGGGACTTGCAGGGACCAAGAAGATGTAGACCGTCATGACTTTTCGTGAATAGGACTCCATTGCTGCAAGGAGGAACAGGGGTAGGCAAACAGGACTGCACTAGCAGAAGGGTATGCGCCATAGCTGAATCACTGATCCATGCTCGACATCTCTGGTGGAGGACAAACTAGGTAGGTTACATGGCATAAGGTAGTCCTAGATAATAGGCGGGCAGACATGAAGGGTGGGGGGGGAAACAAAGCACAAGGCAGCAAGACGCTGAAGCAATTGGCCGTGAATGGTCAATCACATGCCAATGCAATGCAGCCTGCGCACCTTGGTCATGGAGCAGCAGCTTCCGCAAGTGCTGATGGAGATTAAGATAGCCAGTTGACTACGCGTTGTTGGAGACTCTTATCGATTGATGGTGGTGGGGGGGAGCTTGGGTTGCGTCGAAGCAGGCGTCGGCAGTACGTCATCAACTTGCCTGCAGCTGAGATTGGGATTCCGAGAATACCGAGCTGCAGGTAGACACGGCAGGCTCCGGCCCCAAGGTGGGAGAACCCCGATAAGAGAGTGAGAGCAAAGAAGATGACCGAAAAGTTTGCATCCGGATAATTTGAAAAAGTCTCGTGCTCAGTGCCCCGCGAAACGAGTTGTTACTTACCTGAGTAGTCAGAATGAATGGTCAATAAGAGTATGGTAGCAAAAAAGAAGAAGAAAAGAAGTCATGGGCAGAGGGTTCGTGCGAGTGAGTGTTCTACGTCTTATGAATCGGCAAAGCGCACCGAGTCGGAACCCCCCGGAATGTAACCCGAAGAAGGGGGGGGAGAGGAGAGCTTCTAGAAGCTGGGGAGTCAAGTTCCACTTGGCCATAACTACTACGAAGTCTCGCGAACTGCCGGCACGCAAAGCGCTTGAACCCGTTGTCTGCCACATCTATCATCCCTTGACCCTGCTTTGAGCTATTCCACGGCACATTCATGAACCGGTTTGGCAATTAGTCGTCGGCCTACCCTGCGAATCGGGCAATCCAAGGCGCTGGAATCGAGAATGGCCCCCCCCCCCCCCCCCCCCCCCCCCCCCTCCCTCGTACCTCCAGGTTTCATCCATGATAGTGTCGGTCTTAAGCACCCGCCGACGTTGCGACATGCACTGCAGAGAAACCCCGTTCGTCCCCTGTTTGGTTGGGGGCCTCCAGACTCAGTCGCCTTCCCTGTCTACCCCGAACTCGGCAGAGAGCGAGAGTCTGAAATCAAGGCGGCCACGCGGTCGAGACGAGTCCAAGACCTTTGGCTTTTCGTACTTTTTTTCCCAGCGGTACTTGATGGCAAGATGTGAACAACTGAGAAGGTTTGGCGGCGCCAATAGTAGTAGCCAAGAAGGACAAAAAAAAGAAGCCTTGAACCCTGGCGACAGGAAAGCAAAGGCCAATGTGCCGCAGCCCGGGTGGTCCCCCGCAATGCAATCAATACAGATACCTACACCAACGCAGTTAGTTACCTTACTTAAGCCTCTCGCTGACCAATCAGAGGGAATATTCCCCTTTTGGGCCGCATCAAATCCCCATCCCAACGTGCTGGATCGACCCGGTTGCCGGGGCATCAATCGCCCGACGCAACACAAACACACATGGAACTAAGTGCCTCGTCGCTTCTTTCCCTCGTGCCCCTTCTCCGTCTAGCCGGCACTCAAATGACTGCTTTGCGCTCGCCGTCGACTTTGTTTTATTTTTTTGCGACCTCTCCCTTTTCCCCTCCTACTGCAGTCGTCGCAGTCGTGATACCCCTTCACCCAGATCCCTAGAGGGCTTGTCCTCTCGCCGTTGTCCATGCATTTGTTTTCTTCTCTCTTTCTGTATTAACATTTTCCGACGGTGCTGCTACTGCTGCTACTCATTCTAGACCGGAGCATCTCTCTCTATCACTCTCTTCTTGATCTGGTCTTGGCGCCAATTGTCGTCATCGTTGCATCCGCACGTCGTCGTATCAACAAGAATCGCATCGTCTCTTTTGTCTCTGCCATTACAGTTGCGCGCCAAACGTACCATCATCCATACCCGCATCCAATCAAGCCACCACCAAGCCACCGTCTTGCTGGGGCATCAACAGCGCACACCGGCATTATATCCACACGAGCCACGCGCACACGCCGGCGAGATGGAAAACCTCCTCAGCCTCGCCTTTGACGGCCTCTCCTCCTACGACGGACCCAAGGTCCGCAAGGGCCTGCGCCAAGTCGAGGGCCTCCTCGCCCAGATCTGCCTCTCGTCGCCGGCAAAGGCGAGGTCCCCGACCACCGACGACTCGTCCCCGCGCGCCGGTGGCAAGTCCCTCACCGACTTGTCCGACGACCCAGCCTTCCGCGAGTTCTTCAAGCTGCAGGAGGGATTTGAATGGAACGTCGCCCTGCGCCTCATCAACACCCTCGACCGCCTGATGGGCAAGGGCACCGACGGGCAGAACGACATTCTGATCCTCAGTTCGCTGGATCTGATCCAAGGCGTCCTGCTGCTGCACCCGCCTAGCAAGGCCCTCTTCTCGCGAGAGCAGAACATGAACGTACGTTCCCGCTGGGCCTCCAGCCAACCCCCTTGCCATCCCCCCTGTCTCCCTACGTCGCAAATACTGACCTTCACCCTCCAGCTTCTCCTCGACCTCCTCGAACCCGTAAACTGTCCCGCGATACAGTCCGCCACCCTCCTCACCCTTGTTACAGCCCTCATCGATACGCCCACAAACACCCGCACCTTCGAGGCCCTCGACGGCCTCCTCACCGTCACCTCGCTCTTCAAGTCCCGCTCCACCGCCCGCGAGGTCAAGCTCAAGCTCGTCGAGTTTCTCTACTTCTACCTCATGCCCGAGGTCCCCTCCACCCCCTCCACCCCCGCCGCCGACGCGAGCCGGCCGCGGAGCCGCGCCGGCAGCGAGTCTGCCGGCACCCTGACGACCGAGGACAAGCAGGAGCTGCTGGGCCGCCACCTGAGCAACGTCGAGGACTTGGTCAGGGACTTGCGGACCTGCACGCCCTTTGGAGGCGTCGTGTGCTAGCCTCCCTTGCCGAGAGTTCTTGCCCCTCTCTCTCTCTCTCTCTTTCTCTCTCTCTGGGGTTTCTGGTGTTCCGGATTTTGCTGGGGATCTTGGTCTTTCCTCTCCATCATCATTGTTGTTATTCCTTCGCAAGCATCTCGTCCTTTGCCGTTTCGGCCGTCGTCATCGTCAGCGTCCTCCGTATTGTTTGGCGTTCCGTGGAAAGGGGGGGAGGGGGGTTGCTCGGGTTCAGGGGACACAAGGGAACATTCTGTTTTTTATGGTCGTATTTCCACGGAAACGCGGGCTAGGAGTTTCTGTCTTGTTTTCTCTCTTTTTTTCTTTTTTTTTTCTCTCTCCTTCTTTATTTCTTCCCCGACTGGAGATAAGGAGGGGGAGGAGTTACTTGTTGAAGAAAAGAAAAAAGCTTCAGCTTCCTCCAAAATCGCGTAATACGTATTATCAAACCCGTCGAGAATTGTACGAGAGACTGCGCTGGAAAAAGAAGGGGAAGGGAGGGTGGCGGGCGAAAGGGAGATACGAAAACGGTCTCCTATGTGTGTGTGTGTGTGTGTGTGTGTGTGTTCATGCTCGTGCTCTCAAGTCCTCATCAGCGTTATTACTGCCATCATTATAGTTCTGGCGACGGCGTCCGCTTCGGACGGAAAGAAATATACAAACACTCTGGAAACCCGCACACGTCGCTTTCTCCTTCCGTTCATGCCGAGTGCCCCCCTCTGACGCGGGGACCGGACGACCTGTCCATCATGGAGACGCCGGCGATGCTCCCCGCGGGGGGCGACGCCACCTCGCACCCGTACAGCTCGTACCTCTCCTGCGCCGCCTTCACCTCCGCCTCCGCTTCCGCTACCACGCCCACCGAGTCCATCTCCACCGGCGCCACGACGTCGCTCGGCAAGTGCGCCTGCAGCGGCACGCCCCTCCCCCTGCCCGGCGTGGTCGTCTCCGTCTCCGTGTACGGCCCCGCCACGGCATCCGGGCCAAAGTATTCCTGCGTCCCGCCGCGCCACATCGTCGGTGGCGAGCTGGACGCGACCTCCGACATGGCGCGCGCACTCCGCCCCGGTCTCTCGCTGCCGCCGCCGCTGTCGATACCAGAAACCCCACCGCTGACGCGGCTCGTACCGCCGCCGCCACCGCCGCTGCGCCGGGACGACGCCGTCGCCGACCCCCGTCTCCGTCGCCTGAACAGGCAGAACCACGCGGAGAGCATCACGAGCGCGCACCCGACGACGGACACGCCCACGCCGATGCCCGCCTTGGCGCCGGTCGACAGCCCGTCGGAGGCCTCGTCCACGATCCGCACGTCCGTCGTCGTGGGGCGCCCCGGCGCGCACGCCGCGGTGCCGCTGACGACGACGCAGTCCCAGAGCCTGTCGCAGCACCCGCCGTCGGCGCACGCGTGCTGCGCGGTGGCCGTGCATCCGGGGTCGACGGGCGTCAGCAGCACGGTGGCGGACGTGGTCGGGGTCACGGCGCGCACGCATCCGCCGCCCGAGACGCAGGTCTGCCCGTAGGAGCAGCAGCCGCCACCGAACTGGGACTCGCAACGAAAGGCCGACGTGGAGGGGCAGGTGCGGCCGCAGCAGGCGGAAGAGACGGAGGTGGTGACGACGGCGCCGCCACCGCCCATGACGGTCTCGGAGACGGTGCGGGTGACGGTGGCGGGGCACTGGTAGGCCGTGGCCGCACAGTTGGAGTCGCAGTTGGAGCCGACGGGGCAGCACCACGGCCGGTTGTCCGGCTTGACGTAGCAGTAGTTCGTGTTTGCGCAGCACGTTTCCGGGAAGCCGATGTCGACGCCTTGGTTCTTGTCAGCAGAAGGGTACGGATCGTCACCGCTGAGGGAATGGTTGTCGAATAGTGAGGCTGGGGCTTTGTACATGAGTGATAGTTCGGATTACATATTCCTCCGTCGCGGACCGCCAACTTCGGGGCGTCGATGAGGAAGCGCGGCACCAGGGCTCCCCGGGCGGGCGACATTTCGACGGCGGCGTATCTCTGTCGGGCAGCCGCGCTGGCGCAGATGACCAGCGCGGCGATGGCGAGGGCATTAATCTCTCTTCTTCGTGTCTTCGCAGGTCTGTTGCTCGAGGCACCGAGGAATTGAGTGCGGATACGTGGAGGACACAAGCGTCATGTTTGGTCCTACTCAATAACACATGTTTATCATGCTGTGAGGGAAGACGCCACAGAGGGCCGGGAGAGAGACGCTGGCGCCTGGTAGGTGTAGTAGGGTGAATTGGCAGCGACGAGCAAACACGGCTGAAGGGATACAACGGAAGGCCAGCTCAAAGAGACAAGGGGGCCGGGGCAACAATGCAAAGCGAGAAAGCGAGTCAATGGGAGGCAGATGAGGAGGCTGCCGCATGCACCCGAATGGGTCATGGGCTTGGGATCCAGACCATGGATGAATGAGGCCGTAAGCAGAATCCCATCCCTCCACGAGCAGCAGGGGTTTTGTGCACTCTGTCCCCCCGCACGCGACGTTTGCGGGATGAGGATGCGGAAAGACGAGCTGCGCTCCCTCGAGCAATCGCAGCAACACACCCGCATAGCAGAGGGCAAAGTGGAGTTCTCTCTCTCGGCGGTTCTTCACTCGGCGAAGCGGGAGGCAGGGGTACAGACGGAGCGAGGGATCCTTTCTCCTGCCCCTCTCGGCCGCGGCCCGAAGGACTCACACGCCCCGCCCGCGATGACTAGCGGCCTGGGCTGGCCTTCGTTGGTTCGAGGCGACGTGCTGTGCCGCTGGGCTGCATATCGGGATGCCAGGTTCGTTGCCCTCCACCCCCCTCAGAGCGATGCAGGACATAATATCCCCTTTCACGCCTGTTGCCGCGGTTGCAGCTGTGGCCGGTCTAAGCGCATGCGAGAAATACAAAGGATGCATGTTGTTGAAAAATAGGGAAGGATTAACCGCGGCCGACATGCGCGTAGAGAAATAGCCCCAGAAGCTGCTGCCGAGGTTGACAAGCTGGATCTGCCGTAAGCGCAATCGTACCTTACCTTGATTGTTCTTTGAGGTGTCCAAGTCGCCTAGGTAGGCAGTTTAAGGTCCATGTTTCCATGCCATTGATCTTGGGAAAGTGCGATGCTACAGGAAGAACAACCAATGTAAAGTGTGGGAAGTCGCAACAACCTTTGATGCCAAAATGTTTCTCGGTCCCTGGGTAGATAGGTACCATTACCCCAAAAATAAGCAACACCTAGCGGGCCAAGACACTCGACACGCTCCCAAGCGGCGCCCCACGCGCCCCAGAACAGATCCAGCCTAGCCGCCCTTTTCAAGGAAAGAGGGAAAAAAAGGAAGGGAAAAGTGAAAAAGAAAATCGGCAGAATCAGGGTTGGCGGTCAACCCAGAGAGCCCCCCCCCCCCTCCTACCCCACACACCAAAGCCTACCCCTCCACCACTCAAGGTGCCCCTCCTCCGATCGCAGGCCGACGAGAGAGTCCCTAGTGCCATGTTTTTCTGAAGTTATTCCCAACCCCAAAACTCCTCTGCGGTCTGATCCGTCTCCCCCACCCCCCCGGACCTCCTAGCCCGCGCCCGTACTCGCACGCTCAACGACCCCACGCCGACACATCCTCCTCCGAACCGAAACAATGGCCTCGCCACCAGAAGGCGCCTTCCCCCTCCCGCCGATCCTCGCACTCCCCTCCTCCCCCGCCGGCGCCCCCGTCCTCGTCACCCAGGGCGCCGAGGCCCGCCTCTACCGCACCACGTTCCTCGCCCCGCGCCTCCCCGCCGCCCTCAAGTACCGCCCCAAGAAGCCCTGGCGCCACCCGACCCTCGACGCCCGCCTCACCCGCGCCCGCATCCTCGCCGAGGCACGCGTCCTCGCAAAGTGCCGCCGCGAGGGCTGCCCCGTCCCCGCCCTCTACGCCCTCGACGAGGTCGCCGGCTGGCTGATGCTCGAGTGGATCCCCGGCGCCCCCGTCCGCGTGCGCATCAACGAGTGGCTCGACGGCGTTGTCGCCGACGTCCTGGAGGACGAGGCCCGAGACGGCGGTAGCCGCGCCGACTACCGCGCGAGGCGGCCGGACGCCTAACACAGGACGACGGCTGGAGAAGCGGGCGGGCGGGACGTGGCGGACTTGAGG